ATTCTCCCGATTTACGTGTGACGTTTTCTGATCGAGCAGCGGCAGAAAGAAAACAAAAGATTCGAGAACGTTGTCACCTCGTTGTTCCGTGTTTTTACCTTTCGTCGAGTCTCAACATCCTCTCGTTCAACGCAGGCGAGGAAAACTTTGCTCGAGGAATATTCCCAGTACGAAAATCGAGGCAAATGTCCAAGATGGCGAGCTTCTCTGCGAATACACGTACTTCTATCGCACGAATAAATTCGTCTCGGACGATGTTTGAGAGAATTTCATAAACATAGCCACGGTGTTTGAAGTGTCTCGAAGATGGGGGTGAGACGTGGTCCGTGGCTAAATATAGGAAACGATTTCGGACGGGATAATACCGCGTAGAATACGGTCAAGCACAATGTTTGCGGGCAACGCCCACCCATACTCGTCCAGGCTTTTACTGCCGGAGCAGTAAAGAACGAAAATTATGATCCTTACCTTGTCACTGCTTCGGGCGTCGAGGAATACCTCGACATCGATCGACGTCTATCGAGATTCGTTCGTGCCGTTGTAATCGCGATTGCAAGCAGATCTCGCTGTGGAACAAGATCTTCGACTTGTGAAATCTAGAAATGTTAATTATAGAATGTTAAATCTGTTCGTCGAATTTTAATTGTTATTTGAAGTTTTCTTCTTCCTCGTTCGAGACTGATATTTTTTTGTCTACAAAAGCTATATCCTAAGTCTGAATGTATTGAATATATTTGTATTAAACACTTGTCTGTTTTACATACAATTTCTTCTGTTGACAACTAAACGTACTAAGCGGGGCCAAATGGCCCCTTTTCAAAATTTACTTTAAAATCGTACATTCGTTGTTATTTCTTTCACTAATCTGACTTTTTGTAAATTCTTATATTATCTGATTTTTTACCGAGAAAAATTCTTTGCATACGTTATGTACCGCGAGGGGTCATTTGACCCTTTGTGGTAAGATAGGTATATGTAAAATTCCGGTACGTTTAGTGTTAATATTCTATGATTAGTGTGTAATCCGTCTTTGTTCCCGCAAAGATAACAACGAAGCGAAGGGATGATTTTAATTTCTCAATTCTGTGATATGCAAACACGTGTGCAGAAAACAGAGGAGAGAAAAAATGACTTCTGTTTTTGCGTGATCGATGGATCAACGACAAGAGTGGAAAATGAGAAGGAAAACAGGCGATCGCGAGAACTGCGAAAGTAGAGGCGGGAGAAAGTTCTCGTTTTGCGAGATGCGAGCGTAATTACACCGGGGCGATAAAAGTGTTACTTCGCGCTGTAATTTAGAAATATTTTTACGTCGTTTTGATTTGACCGAGGAAACGAGAACCGCGAGTAATTTTCGTCCGCGAGTTTCCACGCTGCCACTATTTATATTCTACTTTCCACTCGGAGAACGTCTCTGCGCTTCTCCCTTGTCCCCCGCCATTGTATGTGTCGATGTACATAGAATCGCGAAATTGATCCATAAAAAATGGAAGGTGTCTCAAGAAACAGTGGGAAGGAATCTTTTCTCGCTCGTTCCATTTAGATAAGTAGAAATTTTGAAAAA